GGAAACTGTCTAGCATGCCCTTCCCATAGATCTGGATGCCCGCTGGCCCTTTTCTACCCTGAGTCTCACTTTCCTCATTTATCAAATTGGGACTAACAGGTCTCTTGTCACAGGTTTTGACGATTTCAGGTGAACATGCAGTCTCTTGTCAAGTTGGCCAGGCACGTGGAAGGCATGTATGCTGTTTGGATTTTTCCAAGGGATACTCAGGAGGTATTGGCGCCCTACCCCCCAACACCACCACTCCACTGCTGTCCCAACCCAACCCACTTGGGGACTTCCACCATTTTTTATTATCCAGAGTAGGAGGGATGGCTCTGCTAAGGTGGAAGACTTGGGGGTAGACAGCCAGGCTTTTCCCTGCAAACACTTCCCCCCTCTACCACTAGCACCAGCAGGCTCTGTCCTGTTCCTGAGATCAAAGCAATGGCTCAGTCTGTCCAATCAGCAGTAGAGATACTTGCTAAAAATGCCCAGTTCCTAACCTGGCCACACTTGTATTAGAATTCACCAGGGTAGAGCCTGGTGCAGTCACCTAAAAAACACTGGGTCAGCAGCTGTGTCAAGCCTTGCTGGGGCTGCAGTCTACAGTCTCAGAATTGGGACAGGGATGGATGACTGGCCCATCACCTGGCTCTGGTGTCCTCTGATCCTAACTCAGTGTCTGGTACTCCACAGCTCCTGAGGGAGGAGGGTTCTAAGCAGAGTATGGAGAACCCCAATGCTCTGGCTAGACCCAGAGACCCTTGCATCAGCTAAGAGAGGGTCCCTCTCTCGTTGCTTAGCACATACCCATGCCAGTCAGAGGGTCCCCACCATCCTTGAAAAGGGAAAGAGCCCTCCCCTCTCAGTACCTTGTAAGGATGGCCTCCAAATAACAAGCACACGGGAACAGAGAAGAGATTCAGGGGCAGCTTTGGGAAAGGCTTAGCCCCTCACTCTGCTCTGATTGAGGGTCTTTCCTCTGAAATGCAAATTTCCCACTTGAGTAAAGAGCCCGACTCATTTCCCCTTGGACGCAGGAACCTTCCGTGGATCTTACAGAGGCACATGAGGCTAAGGGATCAAGCCAGGGCATAGTACACACACACCAGCTTCTCCTCACCTAAAGAGCCCCCCCCAAATGCCTCCCAAAAAGCAGAACTGCAGGCCCCAGCCTCAACATCTGGTCCCCCAGCCACAGCTGTTACCCTCCTCCTTTATCCTAGGATTGCCCCAAACCCTGCCCAGCACTGGCACCGCCCTCTCCCATAAGTGGGAAATTCAGATTCCAGGAGAATCCAGCTGGGGAGACGGAAATGTGCATGGGAAAATGTCGTGAGGAAAAACACATTCTTCACTCCACACCAGAGCCAGCACAGACCCTGGAACAATTTAGGTGGCCAGTGGACCCTCCCACTACACATGGCCAAGACTGGGCCAGCCTTGGAGGGGAGCCTGAGATGCAGAGGTGAGGTCCAGATGCCCTCCAGGCCCCAAGGAAGGACCCCGGCAGACCTTTGTCTGCATAGTGTCAGATCTGTCCTCTAGCCCCTCACTGGTACTCCCACTAAGGAAAGAGGGCTAGAGAAGAAATGGCTATGGCTACCCTTTTGCAGCTGAGCTTTTTAGAAACAAAAGCTTTGCAGGGAAGAGGTTTACACGATTGTTTAAAATGAGGTTTTGGGATGTCTGTGGCATCCAGTTATTCATACTGGCTCCACCCACGGATAATTGAGAGTTGGCTTTTGTTGGACATATCCTTTCTCCCTGCCCCCACTGACAGGCCAAGCTAGTTTTAGGACTTAGAAAGCTCACCTTGCCTGACCCTAGGTTTTACAGATGAGGAAACTGAGGCCTGGACAGAGGAAAAGCCAGATCAAAGAACTCTCAAAAGCTGGTGGTTGTACCAAAATTCGAACCCAAGACATAAAATCAGTGTCTTGGCCAGAAGCTTTTTCCCATTCACCCTACACATTGATTGTGTCCTGGCTCCAGCAAGTCCCCCAAAGCCACTGACCCCAAAAGCAGTAGTTGCCTGGAAGTGGGGTGACTCATTGTCTGGCTTCCCAGTCCCCCCACCCCATCTATGAGGGAGGGCTGGCAGGTGTCCCTGTATAGAGAGAGCCAAGAGCGGGAGAGTTGCCCCAGGGGGGCCTGGGCTAGGGTCACTCTGGGGCCGGAGAGCCCCAGCTGGAGGGATTTAACACCAAAGGTCAGGGGTCACAGACAGGGAAGGGCAGGCAGGCATAGGGGGTCAGGGGGTCAGCACTAATGGTAGCTCCGGAAAGAAGGGGGAGGGGAAAAGCTAAAAAAAACAGGGCTGCTTCCAAGGGGTCCCCACCCCACAAAACCAATGCCTGGCACCACCTCCTGCTTGCCTGGCAGCATACAGGGATGTACTGAGCTGAGAATGGGCTGTGAAATGGGCTAGACTGCAGCACAGCAAGGGGTGTCTTAGGAGACCCCCCCAGGTGTAGCCCCTCCCCCAGTACAGGCCAGGGCCAGCTGTGAGGCCCAGTCAGAGCCCAGAGGGAAGAAAAAAGGAGGCGAGAGGGAGGGCTCTGAGGTCACTAGAGAGGGATGTGTGGGCTGAGCTGAGACAGCTATGGTAACTGTGCCACCAGAGTGGGGCCTGGGGAGAGGTGGGCACACTGAAGTGGTCACTTTACACTCCTAGGGGCTTCAGAAAGCTGGCAAAGACAGATATTGTCTCCCTAGCCTGGTTCAGCCCCACCTTCCTTCCCGGGTGCCAGGACAGCTGGGAGGCGGCTGTGCAGGGTACCTGCCACAGAGGACCAAGGCTCAGACCCTAACCCTGGCCCAGACGAAGACCCATGGGAGCTCAGGCCTTGGTAGGGCCATTGGCTGGCCTGGCTGCCCCCTTGGTGTCAAGCATTCCCACCAGAGCCAAGATCTTGGGCTGTGATGGCTGGGGGCCCAGGGCTCCTCCCAGCATCCCTTCCAGCTTCCCAGGCCCCAGGGCAGGGCTGGGCAACTCCCTGCAACCAGTGCTTCCCGGTCACCCTCTGGCTAGGCTGGGAAGGCCCTCCAGGATAGGTAGAAAGGCAGCATGCTGCCCTGTTGTGGCCTGAGTACCCTACTGGGCAGGGCAGTGTGCCAAGGCGTCCAGGTGCCAGCCTGGACTCCAGCCCCATCCTAGGGGGCCTGCGGGGAGGCACAGGAATCTTCCTGATAGGAGGGGGATGCACCTGCCTAACCCCCTCCTCCAGGCCCACCCTTAGGATACAATCACTCACCCTCCCCATCCTGCCAGGTCCCTCAACTGCTTCCATGCACCTTGCGGGAGTGGACCAAACGCTAGACAGTTCTCCAGCTCCCAGTGCTGAAACAAGGGACGTTCTACCGCCTGCCTTTCCCAGGGCTTACACTGAGGGCAGCAAGAGGAAGACTTTCCCCAGACAGGGAGGGCACCTTCCAAACAACCTGGGCGCACCAGTGAGCAAAGGCGGCTGCCTGCTGCCCCTTACAACTTTATGCCC